TCTCGTCGAGCAACTTTTCTCAGTCGTTAACGGAATCTTAAATCGTTCGGAGCCTTCAGCGTTCCTGCGCACCTACAAGGTAAGCCAACTTTCTATGAAATATCTAAGTGTTGGTATACGGGTGTTTGACGTGTTCAATCTGTCAACCTGAAGCCAATTTCGTTTTTTTTGCAGGTGGTCCCTTTAGATAGCAAGTGTGGTATCATAGAATTCTGTCAAGGGACAGTATCGCTGAGTGAGTGGATTTCCATTGTAAAGGATCAAACACTTATATGCGAAATGAATAGTTTGTTTCTTCAGAAGAGCTTCTATGTGGAACGGATCTTGTGAGTGGCCTACATGCGAGGGAAGAACCAGGAGATATGAAAGCACTGCAAGTGCGAACTAATTTAAAAGACGCCGCTAGAACCCAAGTAAATGAAGCGTCAAGGATGTTTCGTGAAGCTTGTGCTGTCTTCAAACCGGTGTTCAGGTAGTTCCGTCCTCGTTTTTCTTAACCTCCGTTCGTTAACGAGCTGTTAAAAGTTCGCGATTGGATTTTTTGCACCTTTGTGGCCTACTTCTTTTACTTGTAAATGATGACCTAGCACGTGATTTCAGGCACTTTTTCTATGAACAGCACAGCACAGTTCAGTCTTGGACCCAGGCGATCGCCAATTATAGGCGGAGTCTCGCCCAATGGAGTATAGGTAGGTTCCAAAAATGGGGTTTTCAAGGCCACCCCACCGAACAGAAATTTTATGGCTGATGCGATACATTAGTATAACCCTGGATACTCCTCCTAAGCTAATGTTCGAATGTTGTTTTCGAGATAATAAAATTCAAAATTATCAATTTCGTGTCTCGTAAAAATTTATTAGCTACGAATAGTATGTAGACTGTAGTCAAAATAAAGTGAAATACCAGTATACAAAACTTTGTTTACATTCAGTGACGTATGTTGTCGGCCTTGGTGACCGTCACCTCAGTAATGTGCTCTTTGAAATGGACACCTGCAAATTGGTCCATATCGATTTGGGTGAGATTTCTGTTTACGCTCGATTTAATTTTAGGTTGTGTCCAAAAATTCGCGTGTTTTGATGCATAATTTTGAAAGTTCAAAGCTTTATTAAACCAAATAACATCAGAAAGGATACATTCTGCAATCGTTTTACAAAAACTGGAGTTTCCTTGTGATATAAATTCGAATTTCTGGAACGATGAGGTCCCTGATGGAAGTTCAAGCATCCATGTGACTCTCTATCGTCCTGCCCTTGATGGAGTTGTTTAGGTGCTTGAAAATATGGCCATCCGTTGCCGACAGTTCTAGTGAGTGCGCCGGATGAGGCAATGCTTCATAGCAAGGTCGTTCAACTTCTGGAGCGTTTTTCATCGGAAGTGAAGAACATCTGCTCACTGTTCACTTCACGGGTTACCCACTAATATACCTTTTTCACTTTCCAAGTTTTCCCAAA